ATTGTACTGTATGTTTCATGGCTGGAGTACCCAATGTTCCCATTTACATGAGCTCTCAAGCTGCATTTGGGGGCTCATAAAATGAACATTACAAGGCCAGTTTGTAGGATGTCTCAACATCTTGGGAATTTGTGTAAAACTTAACATCCTCAGAAAATTATTGGTTATACTGCATGAAGATAATTTCCAGCCATTGTTCCTTGGATGTTTAGTTTTACAGTGAAATATTATCTAGCTTGAAAACATTGCCTCCCATGATAAAAAAGGGAGAGGCATTGTGGGCATTTGGTAGCTGAATAAAATGTGTCTTACTGTGACAATGATAGAATAAATGAAAGAAGAGAGTAAGAATTTTAGACACTGGACACCATTCATTTGCTATCAACACTATTACAAAATTGTTCACAGCTGGTGCACCATGGTCCTGGGTGTCACCTCATCTTTTTGCATAAACGCATAGCAGATGGTTGGGTCAGTAATGCTTGTGAAATCAAACCATGTCTTCTCTTTAGTATGTAAAATAGAATATGAAATACAGGATCTACTTGTGCAAACTCTTTGACCTCGAATCTGTGTTTTGTAATATTCTCTTCCTGGCTTCCCATTTTGCAGAACTGCACTCTTTATCTAGACTGACTTTGTGGAGATGTGTATTTGACAGTGTTGAGGAATGGACCTAATGTTGGGTCATGCTCTGGGTTCTGACTCTGTGTGTTCAACCTGGGGAGGTATTTCTGTGTTATGTGATTTTCTTTTCATAAAAATCACATGTAGAGCAAGGGTAAATTGTATCTGTATTTCTGCCTGACAAGAAGCTGTGACTCCTTCAGAAACACAGCCTAGCATTAGGAATGTTAAAGCACTGCTGCAACCAAATGATAGATAGAGTTGAAGACGTGTTTATTCCTTCACAACCAGGAGCTGAGAATAGATAAAATTTTAATGTTGTGTACGTAATGTGCACAGTACAGGTTGCATACATAATGCAAGTGAATCTGAAGTAATTCTGGGGAAGTGACATGAAGACAAGGCAGGTTTACTCTTTTCCTGGAGGGTATATTTTGGTGTAATTGTGATAGCATCTTGTGTAAATACTGCAAAAAGAGGTGCCATATTGATCACAATAATGATTTGCTCAGAATGAAGTGAGTTTATCTTCTTTACATTCTTGTTTCCTGTAAACTGGTATTTCAAAATCGGGAATGAAGAAAGAGCCCAAGAAATAATATATTGCAAGAGTGGCCAGAGAGTTGAGACAATGCAGTATTTTATTTGCCCCAAAGCAAAGGAGATCAGACAGCACAGCAGGACACACAGTATTTTCTACCTTCTATCTGCTAGAAAAAGAACATGCTGCCTGTATTTGTAGGCTGATTATTGGAAACTTGAGCCTCTAAAATATGTTTACAGGAAATATCTTCTGAGCTACACTGAGTCTAACAACTTGTTTTGAATGAGCATTAGTTTGCAGCTCTGCTGTCATGTGGTTCATCCTCACCTTCTTGTCCACTGCAGAGTTTCTTGTTCCTCAAATTTGCCAGTATTATCAGCAAACAGTCCTTCCCCATCCCGAGCTCTTTAGAGAGCTTTGGTTCTGCATTGTACCTTTTGCAAAGTGTTCTGTTTTGCTCTTTTTCTTCTGTCCAACTATTCTGGGGAGAAGTTGGGTGGGGTGGTGGAGTCTTTTTTTTTAATGGAGTCTTTTTACTTTTAATGTGGTGTGCTTAGATTTTTTTTTTTTTTTTGAAGACTTTTAAGTTATACCAACATGTGCCATTTTGGCTCACCTCCAGTCAAAGTAGCTCTGCTTTTCCCCGATTACCTAATAGAAAAAATCACACCTGGTGTCCTGGGTTGCAGGTACCCTTCAGAGGTGTTGACACCACATTTAATTGCAAAGGAGCAGTGTTAGTTGTGCCTTCCTTCCTGGAATGATTTAGCTGCTATTCAGTGAGTCAGGAAGAAGGAAGAAGGGAGCATGGAGGAGAAAGTGAGTGATTTCCAATGAGGGCATGCACACTCCCTGTTATTTTTGTGTTTGGTTTTTATCATGCTGATGTTTTTCTACACAAAATAGTGTCATGCACTTCACTTTCTGCAGTACTTTAGAATAATGCTGTGGCAGATTTAATGGAGAAATTATGTTCTCCTTAGTTTATGTGGCAACCCTGGATGCAAGTATAAGTGATTGGGGAGAGAAAAAGCCTCACTGTGTATAATTTCTGTACAGTGAAGGATCTGAATGGCTTTTAAAATCTAGCAGCAAGCTCTAAGGTTTGAACTGCCATCATCAGTCTATTGCAAAACAATTTCTGAATGTTTTTAATTAAGCCAAACCATGCTGCAGTCTTTAATAGAATGTGGGTTTTTGGTTTTTTTTTTTTTCTGTAATGAAGCTGCCTTAATGCAAAAGGCCAGAGAAAGAAGGCAGAACATGTAGAGAAGGTGGTCCTTTGGTGCAGTCTACAGTAGTACACTACCACACTTTGCTATCATTTTATTGCTATTACAGGGCAGTATAATTTAAAAACTTTACAGTGTAGGGTGCAAAAGGGCTTGAATAGGTCCCCAGTTAGAATTGTTCATCTGCCAGGGCCATTGGCATCTCATAATGTAATACCTGGGCATGTGCTGCTGGTCTTCACTTTGGTTGTTATAGCTAAAGCTGCACTTTGACAGTTCTTAATCAGGTACCAAAGTGCAACAGAACTGGAGTGCAATTAAAAACTGGTTGTGTCAAAGAGGAGGACTTTAAAATGACCTCTAGAAATGTAGTTGAAAGCCCAAAGTTGCTTTCAGAAGGGGGTGCAGAGCAGGAGGGCATCTGCAGGAGGTCAGAAACTGCAGAGAGATTGGTAGGGGTAGGTCTGGCCTTCTCTGCGGAAGTTGAAATATTTTTTTAAAAAATCTCACTGATGGGCTGATTTCAAAACACATCACCAATCTCAGTGCTGCTTTGCAAGATGGGTGTGACTTGCTGAAGGTAGTGAACAAGTTAGGAGTATGACTTGGCAGCAAAGAAGCTCGATGTACTTACTAGGTCACATTGTCTCTTTTACAGATATGTGAACTAAGCCACAAAGTTGAAAAGGATTTGCCTGTCTCCACAGAACTAATCTGGGTTTTGTCACAGTGTTGTAAATAGAATTTTTAGATTCCTTTATCATCTCTGCATTTTAGTTTCTTTCTTTAAATTAAATAAATAACAACTGACCAGGTTTAAGTTTTATATTAGATGTCTTGAAGGTGAAGGGGGTACAGTATATTACAGGATATTAATGTTGCAGGTCCACAGTATCAGCCCTTGATCTTGTGACTGTGACTGGCAATTACTTGCCTTGACAATAGCCTTCATGGAGTCTAGGAGCTTTCACAGCACTTTTGGAGTGGAAAAAGAAAAAAATAACCATACTAAATAAAAAAGGTTGAAGTTATAAAGAGTATTAAATTGGAACTTTGCAACTGAATTTGTCAATATAAAAATGATTTTAAATAGTATATGATTTTTTTTTGATAACTTGGCTATCACAGTTACCCTGAAAAGAGCTCCATATAATGTTAGACGTCTCTGTCCTCATGGAGGACCAAAAGCCGGGATTAATTAAATGCTTTGTAACTTCTCATCTGAACTGACAGTCACGGATGTGAACCTTGAGTTTGTGCTTCTGCCTTCACCTTGGACAATGAAAAGGGAGCAAAACCTAAGCTGCTTTGCAGGCCACTTCTATGAAGAGGTATAATTTTGCAAGAAATTTTAGATGCTTTGTTTATGAGTCCGTGAAAGCACAGGGCTAGATGCCTTTTCCTGAGTTGTTAAATCTGTTTTAACATTGGTGTAACACTTTATTATATGGAAAACAAGGTCGCGCTTGTCTAAACTTTTTTCGTTACTATTATTCAGCTCACATTTGTTACTTTGTTAACATTCTGTTTATCTTAACACTTTTTTTCACCGCAGCGTTGAAAGCCCTTGTTATGTATCTCTGCAGAGCAAATTGTAACTCATCTCAGCTTCCACTTTGCTGATTGTAACTGCGTTCTTGCAGAAGGTGGCTCTTCCTCGTCTGCACAAGCCTTTCTCTGCATGCTGCAGACTGAGCTGGATGCTGTTCAGCTCATTGTAGCAAGTGTTCCTAACTTAGTTTCATTGCTGCTGCTTGTAGCAACAGGAGAACATTGCTGGTCCGCCCCAGTGAAGTATCACCCTTTTTTGTGGCTCTGTTATCTGACTGGAAGGCCTTCTTTCTTCTTGTTTTTTATCAACTGATAAGCTCTCAATTGGTAGCAGAAGTGCTTGTCAGTCTGTAGTGTGCTGTTTTATCTTTGTACTTTCTAACTTCTTTCTTGTACTTCAGTTCTGGTTCTCCTTTGTTAGTTTTGCTGTAAGCTGATGAATTGCATCTTAATTACTGCATCACACATTTGAACACTGCTTTATGTATGAATCTTTCCTGAATTTAGTGTTTTGAGGAGTGCTACTTTTCTTAATCTTACTGTATATATTTATATGGTTGGCCCATGTGTACATATTAATAGAGAAGCATCTTCTCCACATGGGAACCTGTTGACTTGCCACAGTTTTGTAGTACCACACTCAAAGATTTCTAACATGCTCCATTGAAGCGAAATTGTAGATATTTCAGGTTAAAATTATACTGGAAGGCATGCTACTTGATAAATTCATGTTTTGACCTTAAGATAAAAAGTTTGATCCATAGAGTTATTTCCTACCTCCCAGTTATATAGACTTTGTTCTCTGAGTGTAAATAAAGAGGTGAAAGTGTGAAACTGAATGAATGATTTTGTTTCAAATGATAGAGAAGCTATGTTATAAAATGTTAACACTCAGCATTTATTCACAGGTTTTTAGTTGGGTTTAGTCCCTGTAATTACTACTTGCTGCCCTGCTCCCCCCCCCCCCCCCCCCCAATCCTATACTACTAGCCTGTTTATATGGATTGATTCAGTCAGAAATAATTTGTGCTTTTTGTGTCTTTCAGACTTCATTAAAAAAAGAACTGGATACACATGCTGAATTTAATTTGTGAAAGGTGGAGTAAGGTAAGATAATTTTAGTCACTACTACTGTAATGTGTGATGATCTGTTGACACTGAAGGCAAGAGTTCAAAGATTCATCATAAATTAGAGGCAGGGAAATCTACAAGGAACTTTCAGCCTTGGAAATAATGAAGCACTGACAAGATCAAACATTGTGGTACCAGTGGCGTGCTTTTGCCCTAAGGTTTGTAGTGTGACTAGTTCATTATATTGGCCAGGGGTTTTCTGTTCTTATTTGGATGCATTGCCCACAGAAGGTGAGGAAGTTCAATAGCTAGTGACAGTATGATATGTTTGTATTTGGACAAATTATGTGTTTCTGGAAGTCTCTGAGATTTAAAGTACAGCCTGTGCTGAAAGGCCAATATTTCTTGCCTGTTTCTACCATACGAGCAAACCAGTCTTTCTTTACTTTTTCTCCTTAACCATCCAGACATGTTGATGAAGAAGGCAGGTCTGCCTGTCACTGACCATTGCTGTAGCATGGAGCAGTATCCTTCAGGATGGGATCTAAACCCTGCTGGGCACTTCATAAACATTTGTGAAGTATTTGCTTCTCCAGTGAAAGAGCTGCTTTATGTCCTGTCTGTGGCAGGGTGCAGAGGCTGGTGGTCACATTTCTAGGCCCTGAGAGAGAAATCTCTGTCTCTGGGGCTCCTGTTAGCAGAAGTGAGAAGACTCTTGGCCACTTGTTTCCAAGCAAAGTTCAGTCATAGGACTCCTCTTGCTTCCTGTGTGCAGAGCAGCTGTGTTTTGAGCTAAGCAGCTGCTTCTGGCATTCCAGAGTAAGAGAAGTTGGCCACATATGCTGATGAGATGAGGGGATGTGGCCTGAACTGCAAGGCAGTATGAAGCAGACTAATAATAAGAGTCTTCTGGTAGAGGCAGGAAGTTTTGCTGGTATGGGAGTAGGAAGTAGTGAGAGGTGTAACAGGATGCTCTTGGTCAAATGTGATGCTTATGGTTGCATGCAGAAATGGAGGGTGGACCTCCATTGTCCTTGTCCCTGATGTAGTGCCCTTAGTCCCCTTTTACAGAGTTCAGCAAATAATGAATGGTGGAGTAGAGTCAATGGTGAACAGTATTGACTTCTCAGAGATGTTATTCCCCTGCTCCTGCTAAGGGAGATCAGATTCCTTTGTAAGGTCAAGCAGACAAAGTCAGCAGATGCACTTTCTCCTGAAGCATTGCTTTTCTTGTGTTAAATGTGTGTCTTAAAGCAGACTGAGAATCAATTATTGGAAAGTCTAGAGAGATGTGCTGCCATGGCTGTGCCTACATCTGAAATTAAAGCAAATGGTCGATACCATGGACTCAGTTATTTAATTGGGGCTGAATGGAAGAGAGTGCACAACAGGATGCTCTAGGGGGTTATGTTTAATTTTTTTCTTTTGACCATCTTGAACTGCTCAATGAGCGGGCATGCACTTACAGATCTTTCTCCATGCCAAGAAGGCCAGGATAAAGTTGCCAGCAGCAAATTAGCATTGCCAGATCCTGTAGCTATATTGTGACTTAAAAGGAATTGCAGTAATACCAGTCATTCATACCATCTTTCTTTCTTTTATTAATCATTGTCTGCATTGGAAAAGAAATGCCTCAGGCAATCCTTCATCCCCATCCAATGCAGCTCTGTTTCTTACTGAAGAAATTAAAAAAGAATTGTCATTCTACCCCATGACAGCTATGACTTCTCCCTTGTGGGGTCTGTCTCCACACTTGCAAAGAAATCCACAATAATAGAGCTAAAAGCCAGCATTTGGGGCTCCCCTACAGGGACAGCATATCATCCTAATTAAGTGTTTCTCAAATACAGCCCTGACTGTGCAACCCACTCCATTTTTTGTCAGATTGCACTACCTGCTTGAAGCTTTGTGTTAGAGTAGATCTAGAGAGAAGATAGGAGAGAAAGAAAAGAGAATGCCACCACTTCTGTTTGCCTGTTTGCTTGGTACTTTGGTGAATACTTTCTTTCCACTGATGTAGATTTAGTGGCTTCTTTATTAGGAGTCAAACTCTGTGTTGCATATGTAAAGCTCCACATAATTTTTTGATTATGGCTCCTTAATTGTTTATGAGACAGGTTATGTCACTCTTTTTAAGTAAAAGTAACAGCTTTCTCTTCAGTCAGTTCTCTGGGTGACATGTCTAGAAAATGTGCCCTGCTAAATTATGTACTGGTGTAGATGATGAGTGGACAAACAGCACAGGTGACTGACTAAGGAGAGGTGATCATTAATATAAGCACAGCAAGCTGCTTTATGATTATTGTTGTTTCCTTTTACTGCAGGTTTTCTATCTGCTTTTACAGTTTGAGGCTTTTTAGCAAAAACCACCAGCATTTGCTAGTTTGTTCCCTTTTCCTTCTTGCCAGTTTGTAAAGTATAAATGCAGAGCAGGCCATGTATGCTGTGTGGCTGTGTTCAATGTGCAATGATTTTGTTTCTTAGGGCCTAATGTTCATCATCCTCTTGTTAATACTAGATCACATCATGCCCCATGCCAACGTGGCTTGGATAATTGCAATAACTACATGTGCAATCATTGCATAATGTGTGCCACTTGGCCTTTCTGTAATATTCTGTATTCCATTAGAGGGTTTTCTGGCTGCTGGCTTTAGTATACAGAGCTAACCATGGCTTTTAGCAGTGAAGAGAGAGATGAACTGAGTTTGAATAACGTGTTATGTGAAGGCGTAATGGTATTGAATAGAGCCTGAATCCTGGGAGAGGGAGAGAAAGAAAAGTAAGAGGACATAATGTCACATAGCTAATGAGAACAGCTGAAGAGGGCACAAAGGGAGAAGGCAGAGGCTGAATTTCAAATGTTTTAAGTGTCTGGAAACAAGAGCGATCTGTGGTCTATTACTTTGGTTCTTTCTTATGGCTTTTGTCTCTTTTTTCAAATATTTTGTCTATATTATATTCTGTGCAAGCACAAAAATCAAGCCTTTTCTGGAATTAAATGCTACTCTTACATCAACCCCTTTAAAGTCTTTGGAAGTTTATCCAGCCCAAGCTTGCATTCAATTCAATAACATTAATTTTACTCCTCTGTTTGCATTTTAATTATAAAGCTGTTACAATGTTTAAATTACAAAATGTCCAGTACCTAATTGTTAATAATCTCAGTATTATCCTTGGGAGATACGTAGATGAACTACCACAGAATAGTAATGAGGGTTTCAGCAATAATTGTTTCACTAAAACATACTGTGAGATTTAACACTTAATGTGAACCAACTAAACCACCTTTCAAAACCAGCTGTCTACCATGCTTCTTTCATTCATGGAAACTCTGCATATGGATAATTTTCTACTTCCATCAGTATTTTCCTTTTAGCTAGGAAGATAGAAAGTAACCATGTAAGTCCTCAGGTACAGACTTCCCCACACCAGAAGGTCTGGACTGTGCAGTACAAACACCTGTGAACACTTTGTATGGTCTCCTTACATATGGCCTGCAATAACTTGAAGCACTGCAATAAAAGACAAAAAATCTGCAGTTTGTTTCATACTGAGGCATTGCTAGCATGCTACTCTCTGAAGAATAAATAGCAGAATAGACTCATAGTTATTTTTAACTTTAGTGCAGGATTTCTCATGACTTTGGGGGGGCAGGGAAAATTTTTAAATTAATATCTTTTAACTGTAGTCAGACATCTCAATATAAGTCCTCGGTAGACACTGAGGATCTGCGGCCTTTGGTGAAGTCAGGAGCAATTATCAGTGATCTGAGGTCTCCCAAAAAGTCAGATCAGTCTTAAAACCTACACCAGGAGAAATGTTAACTTTTCTGCTTGCTACAGTGGAGCTGAAGCCTATAGTTGTGTGTCTGCTCATGTGCTGGCCCTCAGCTGAGTCACCTTCCTGAACCAGAACTTACTTGATCATAGAATCTCCTGAGCTGGAAGGAACCCCCAAGGATCATCAAGTCCAGCTCTTGATCCTGCACAGGGCAGCCCCAAGAATCCCACCATGAGCCTGAGGGTGTTGTCCAAATGCTTCTTGAACTCTGTCAGGCTTGGTTGGTGCTGTGACCACCCTGGGGAACTGTTCCAGTGCCCAACCACCTGGGTGAAGAACCTTTTCCTAATATCTAACCAAACCTTGCCAACACAGCTACATGCCATTCCCTTGCAGTTCTGTCACTGGTCACCAAAGAGAAGAGATTGGTGCCTGCCCTCCCACTTCTACCCCTCCTATTGGATGCCCCATGGCTATTAATTTAGCACAAATAGACATTTTTAGCCATGATATCCAGAAGAAAACTTAACTGCTTGCCTATTTTGACTATTGTGGGGCATGTGCAGGCAGATACAAACCTATTGCTAAAGCACCAAGATGCACAACTCACACTTGTGTTGTTTGAAGAATGAGTCAATAAGTGAGTATTTTAAAATAAAGATCAAATTTTTCTGAAGGAGGCAACATATAAAAATATTACCTTCTAACAAAATGATTATTTACAGCTCAAGGCAGAGAAATGCAAATGTGGGCCAGAAAAAGAGATTGAAATTGCAGACTAAGAAATATTTTGTACTTTTAAGTTTGGGTTTGGTTTTTTTTTTGCATTTTTATGTCAAGATGGTAGAGATACCAAAACACTAAAACAACAAGAAGAGAAAGAAAAACAAAAACCAAATTCTCACAGCATGTGAACAGATTTCTTGAAATGAATGGTGTACTTATTATTTTAGAAAGCTTTTGGATATTATCAAGAAAATCATCATGCCTTATAACAGAAACTTTTCCAGATATTGCATGCTTGAGTGACCCAAGTAATTGAGAAGCCTACATGAACATATTCAGCAGTTTGTGAATATAAGAAATTTAACTGAATAATGAGAATTTAAGGTATTGTGCAACTCTCAGAGGCTTGTGTGACAGAATCCCACAAACATTTCAGATTTGCCCTGGAATTTCCCATAAGACTGGAAAGGACCCCCAAGATTATAGAGTCCAACACATATGAAGTTATACAAAGGCTTTAACTATATCCTGTGTTTTTTGTGGTCTCAGGAGATTTCAGGAAGTCTTGGGTGTTTTACTCATGATATTACATTTCCCAGACAAAGCATCCAATTTTTGCATCTCTCATATTTTAAAATCAATCAGAATTTCTGACTGTCAGAATAGCTTTTTAAGTTGCTCCATTGGGAGTTTCCAATTTGGGAATTTCTTCAAGGTACTTTTTATATGTGTGATTGAAATATAGATCCGTTACTAAGATTTTTTTAGAGGATTTCTATTACTTACACTATTGAATTTTATGGAAAATATGATCGAGCAACTTCAGGCTTGTTAATCTGACCCTATTGACCTTAGAAAATTTTTAAAGGATAAATAATTAAAGACATGGGAATTGAGTGGAGGGAGGATGAAACACAATCTATTTTTCTAAGATAGGTCATGTCAAACTGGCCTAGTATCTTTTTTTAATAAGAAAGTAGGTTTTCTAGAAAAATAAATGGGCTAGATCTGGTCTCTCTGGATTCTACTGAGCCATTTAATATGGTGTTGCAACAAATATACTGTTCAAGGTGGAGGAAGATTAAGTTAGTGTAAGAACTGTAAACCAAAGAACTGCCATGAGAGAGACAGAAGGAGGTAGATATATATGATTAAGTATTCTCTGGGAGTTGGCTTGTTTAGTTTTCTTGAGGCTTTTTTGTTTGTTTTGTTTTGTTTTGTTTTCTGGAGTTGATATTGTTGGTATGCTGTATTGAAAGCAGGCTGTTGAAACATGTGGATGGGAGGAGCATGTTAATTTCTAGTGCACAGTTTTAGATGGAGTGACTATACAATTAATTGGACAATTAGATAATACTAAAGGGATGGAATTCAACCCAGCAACGTGTCAGGCCACACATTGTCATGAATTCTCTTACCCAGTTTAACCTTGATATCAAAATTAGCAGTATGACAGTCTGAGCTCTTATGTAATCAGGGGAAAGAGGCAGATTTTTAATTAGGCACCCAACTCCTGCTTTCTGTCTTGACTGTTAACAGAGCCTGGGCACCTGACTAGCATCAGTGCTGAGTGCCTGAAACTGGATGGTGCTACAGCCTCAGCTTAGGAAGTAATGCAGCAGCTTTTCCTATGAAGAGGGAGTTCAGCAATGGAAGATTTTGAAGGAGAAAGGCCTATATGAGGGTAAGTGGGTTTAAGTTTGTCTTTAGTCTGTCAGTTTGATACCATCATGAAAATGATGTATTGGGGACAGGCAAGTGTCAGAAAGAGGTATTTCCAGTTGAGGGAGGAAATCTCAGCTGAGTGCATCTGGGCTGGGACCTGATACAGCATAAGTGTGCAACACCTCTTGCAGTGTCTGAGAAACCTCACCTCAGTATGTGATAGAGGCAGAGAAAACTGAAAGAGGGTGGATTTAGATTAGATATGAAGAAGTAATTTTTTTACAGTGTGAGTGGTGAGACATTGGAACAGGTTGCCCAAAGAAGCTGGGGATGCCCCATCCCTGGGAGTGTTCAAAGCCAGGTTGGATGTGGCTCTGAACAACTTGGTCTAGTGGAAAGTCTTCCTGCCCATGGCAGGTTTAGTTGTCTTTGAGGTCCATTTCAACTCAAACCACTTGGTGAAAAACTGCAGGGATGATCAAAGAACTTATGTTACAAGAGGAGTCTGAGACAGCTGTGTTGGGTAAGTCAGGAAGACTGATAAAATGGGAAATGTAATTGCCACAGCTCTGCTGTTGGAGTTATGGGGAGCATTGAAATGTGGCTGATATCAGCTAGGTTACAGCCAACAAGCAGGATGTCTGCAGAGGACTAGTGCAGGTCTATGTGCAACATTATGGTATTGTAGGAAGATTATGATACCAAACCAGAAGCGTCTGCTTGAGTGATTTAGAGGTGATGCGAAGTGAATATATGGCATGTCTTACTGATTAAGTTTGTGCATTCACTTAGCACGTGGATAAAATATTTAACCAACATAGAATGCATAATGATAATTGCATAATACATGACAGTAATCAGTAGGAGAATGCTTTATGTAAAATTAGGAGCAAGCTTCAAGATTTATAAAGGTCAGTGATTGCTTGGATTCAGCAGGACTTAGGCTGTTTGGGCTGCTTGTACATTTTGATAACTCCTACAGAGTGTAATGCTTACTGTCTGCTGTATTGCCCTGCAGTTCCCCTGCACAGCACATGGAAAACTGTGGGATAAATCAGGCTTTGAGTGAATTTGTAGGGCTGGAAAAAGGCATGTTTAGTTTAGCCTGTGACAAATATACATTTAGAAGCTGACTGCTGGGTAGCAAACTCATGACCACTGAGACAAAAGCTTGCTCTGAAGTGAATACTGTGGTTGTAGATCCCTGATGTGCCTGTAGTGACAAATGATGGGTGCAGCACTTACAGTCAGTGGCAGTCCTTGCCCCAGATGCCTCCTTATTTTGACAAACATTGAAACTTAAAACTGTGTGTTAGTGAAGAGCTGCCCTTTCCCTGGATGTTGGTTTGTCCCAACACTGGGTTTGAAAAGAAGTTGAATCCTTTGAGCAATGGTGAATAATGTGCTTTCTGCTCTGTTGCAAATCCTGAGTTGCTCTCATTGGCTTTGCCAGCTATTAAGAGATTGATCAGGTTGCTTTTTACCAGAAATCTTCATAAAATAACAGGAGGAAAATACCACAGCAAGAAACATTTTTAATGTACTTCTGGTAGCACTATGTTTAGTTCTCTAGTTATTTGTTCATTAATAAGGGCTCAGCCTGGGATTCTGAGGTTTATAAGTGCTGAGAAGAATATCAGGGGAGATTAGTATGGCTTCTCTTTTTGTTCCCCTTCTGCTTTGTAATTAATTATTGTATAGTGGTACTACGTTGTTATTGTTCTATGGTAAAAGCAATTGCATGATGATCTCACAGTCCTTGGAATGTTGCCACAGTGAGGAAAAACTCTGTTTATGCACTGAATTGTCAGTAGTTTGGAAGGGGTTTGTTCTGCTGGAAACTGTGATTTGAATAACAGTCCAAGAGGAGGGATGACAAGGAGGGGAGGATTGAGAAGATAAGTGTGAAAATGTGTCAGAGCTCTTTCAGATTTATTTTTTATTAGAGCCATGGTCAACTACCTTAGATTTAGAATCTGTCCCAGTTTATATGTGTCTTTTTTCCCCCCTGTATTCTAGGTTTTATTTAGCTCCAAGTCATGTTTTTCTGGCTAGTAAACTGGGGGTTTGTTTTGAAAATCTGTCTAAGCCTCTTCCTGAGAGACAATACTTGGAGCATCTCAGGCCTGCATGACTGTCACTTAAAAAGATGCCCAGAAAAACTGGAAGAACATCACTTGAAGATGTTTCTAGAAAAGAAAGGATTATAAGGTCTGAGGGAACCCACCTCTAAATTTCAGGAAAAAGATTTCTTACAGTCATATTGGGGAAGAAGAAAGAGAAGAATTTGTAGCAAACCCAGATTCTTTGTGTGTGGGAATGGGCAGTGAGGAGGATGATGGTGGATGATCAAATAAGCACAATCTACTGACTGCTGCAGATCATTACTAACCATGAGATGCTGGAATGCAAATTTAATCTTGTTTCATAGTCTCTTAAAATAGCTGTTTGAAAGTTAGAGAAAATGACCTTTTGAAGATTCATATATTTCCCTACTCAGTTCTATCCAGTTGCCTCTTTTGCTTAACTTCAGTACAGTTCAGTGAAGTGAATCTCATCCCAAGACTGTACCCCTTGCTTAACCTTTTCATGGTTTAATCTAGGTAAATACTGTACTTATGCTTTGTTCACACAGATTCTTAAACAGTAATAAAATTCTAAATATTTTTCTACAACAAAACCATGTGAGCTATTGAACTGTGTCTCTGCTGAACTGTGCACAGTACCAGAGAGAAGGTTGTTCCAACTTACTTGTGTATTCTGTCATGATATTTTTAATAGTATGTTTGCTGTTAGGACAGGATATATGCTATAAAAACTAAACCTAAGTTTTGCCAAGGTATTTTGGGGGTTTGTAGTCAAACGTGATAGAGATAATTTATTCTTGAAATGTGTTTATGTTGATTTTGTTTTGAAACAAGATATATGCCTTGCAGAATATTTATGTTCATGATCATTCTGTAATTTCCCTAATAAAAAACCCCTACACTGAATGCAGTTCCTGCTAAATTTTAATCCCAGAAATGTTTAGAATGTGAATATAAAATAATCTGAAGGATGTATTATAGTACAGATCCCTGTAGGAGCATATTATCTTTGAAAACATTTTAATAATAAGCTGTCTGAAATTATACTTTTACCTTTTCTCCGTTTTAGCATGAGCAAAGAAAGAGTTTTAAAAGTGCTGCTCGGCTATTAACACTGAGCTATTTTTACTGGGACTTTTGAACATTGATTTGGTGTTTCTAAGTGGAGGCATTTTTCACTTGTGGCTGTGCATGTTCACTTTGGAGACTTTCCTTCAGTCAAATCTGCTGTGATCTTAGACAAGGTGGTTTTTGGGGTTGTCCCAGGCAGCTGCCAAATACTTTCAAACATTCAAAGTGGAGGTGTGGAGAAAAACAGTGGTGTGGAGGAAACTCCAGTTGTGTACATATATAGGTTTGGTATAGTGTCCTGAAAGCATCTCTGGATAGTGGGATTGATGGTGCATAAAATTTGCCATAGAATTGCATATATTTATAAACATAAGTAATAGTTACTGAAAAAAAAAAAAAAAGAAAGCCATCACTGCTTCATTTTGTTATTGTTTTGTAGTTCATAGATCAAAGAAATACGAACTAGGTAAAAATAGAAATTAGAATTTAAGGGCATTTTACATATTTTTAATCATAAGTTAGGGGATAATACAAAATTTTCAAAGTCAGCAGTGAGGCACTATCAAACAGATGAGCTCTTTGCTCATCCTTGCTAGTTCAAGGATGAGTTCTTTAACTGTGTACTTAAATGGCTTTTGAAGATATATATAAATTCTGGAAAAAAAGTCTTTTGTGAATATTTAAGGTATGTGGCATGTATCAATGGTTTGACAAGTAGCATTTAGTTTCTTTGAATTACTTTAATAATAATAAAAAATGTTAATAATTTCCTGATATTTTCCATGAATCATCTTTGAAAACCATATACTACCAGAAGAAAAGCTATTTCTATTTTGTATTCAAAGTAGGACAAATCGGCATTGTTTTGTGTGGTGCCTGTTGGTGCATTTTGTCCTCCAACAATGGGTTGTATGTGTTAACCATTTGCTTTGATGGGTTAAGTAACAATTATCAAGTCAACTCTTGCCACACAGGGTCTTCTATTTCTTTGAGAAGGAAAGCTGGGAGATAAAGGCTTTCAGATAGTATTTGCTATGGAAGGAGGAAAAAATTGAAAGAAGAAGATTTTGAGGACTGTTTTTTTAAGGAAGCTCTGCGGGGAGCAAAAGTCAAGCTGAGGGGCAGTGGTTATGGATATGAAGGACAAAACAGATGCCCAGAGCATGGGAATGAGTGGTTTCAGTTGACTGTGTTTTACCATGTGTTGATACTTATTCTACTTTAGGAGTTGGAGAAATGCACTTGGTTGAACTCCAGCTTGTCTGTAACTGAGGATTTGGATATCTTGCTATGTAGTGAAGGGAAGAGGCAAGTGCAGACAAAAAATATCTTATGATTTTTCTTCAAGTCTTAAAGCAGCTTGTAACTGTCCCAGCGCAGCTCCAGTCATCTGGTGCCACTCTTGTGGGTCTTGTTTAAAAACTGTATTTCTTCCCCTTCCCCAGGAGCACCACTAAGTACCAATGAATACTTGGCATCCATTACAAAACATCTTTCATTAGACTAGACTAAATCACTTTGCTAAATAGGAGCCTTACAGAATAGGAAAGATCTCTTCTATGTGCAGCTGCATCCATCACTACAGAGATATATTGTATATATCTGGTATATTGTAACTTAAATGTTTTGGCTTTGAAGTCATTTAGCACAAAAGGGGCAAGATATCTCTTGTCCTGAGGTCAGTTTCCATATTAGTAATCAAAAAGGAGAGTCTGAACAACATGAGAACTGAAAGGATTTTGGTTTGTAGAAGTGCCTGGAAAACAGGGCAATAACCACATAGTCACTGGTTTCCTAGAACTGAGGAGAAATTCACAGTATATTTAGCCCTGTTAAATCCTGCATTTTATGTTGTGATCTT